TTAATATGTTTTTAGCAATGCTAGATATTTTTTCCTTTTTTGCCTAGTGAAAGCATTAATTAATAGAACCAACTACAGAGTCGACTCCAAAAATAGAATAAGGCCACCAAAAATATACAGCGAAAACACATTTAAGATGTAGTTTTATGTCGGGTACGGTGATGAAGCCACCGTTGGTCCACTCATCGTGAGATACGACTGAAAACGTTCATCTCTAATTACACTCTTAGCCATTTCACGAGCTATGAATTGGCTTCCAAGACACCAATTTGAGGGGATACCACGCTAAACAGAGCCCACATCCTATACAACTTTCGGATTTAATGCTAATACAAAATCATTTGGCCAAATGATAAACAAAATAGTTTTTAGATTTAGTTTATAATTTAAAATTTTATCTTCTAGAGATTTTATGAAATTAATTATACTTAACTAGATCTTGAACCCGCAAAATCTAAAAAAAAAAAATAATGTATATTGAAATTTTACTCATAAATAAACACAGTGATGATACATAGATGTGAATATCTAAAATTTTTAATAACTATTATTGTAAGAAAATAAACATAAATAACTTTTTAAAGCGTAAAAATATAAAGATGAATGAACTATAAAAAGTATTAACACACAATTTTATTTGGATTAAAACTCTATAATTTATGCACCAATATATAACCAACACAACATAGATATCTGTATAAATGCAAGTATACAATTAAAAATTGAGGAATTGACATTGAGAATAAATTATTCAAAGGTAATCCAAATGCTCTTCAAATTTTTAAAATATGATCAATTAGAAGAAGGTAAACAATGAATAAGAAAATATGAAGTCCAATTATAAGCAACACCAATCTTATTCAGTAGAATTCAATTATTGATAGATTGGTGTTGATTACTGAGAATTTCTCTGAATACTTAAACAATATTGATAGAAATGGTTAGTTATGCAAAAACGATGATACAAAAGTTTATTCTCCAAAATAGTAATTTCATTATCTACAGTTTTTGGACAAAACCATGCATATATTAAAAAATTAGAAAATTTCTAATCTAAAAGAATAATCTTACAAAAATTAATCAGAGAGACATATTCGATGAGAAAGAACATATGAATTTTGTAACAAAGAAGTGAAGTATGAAGCATTTAAAAACGCGAATTGCTGATGGACTGAATCTTATGTTTGGGCTAATTATTGATTTGGCGCAAAATATGAAAATTAAAAAAAAAAATCAATTTATATATAACTGAACATCACATAAAAATAAATTAAAATTAAAATATGAAAATTAAGAGAATAATATTAAGAGATTTTGGTATGTATAACTGAACATCACACAAAAACAAATTAAAATGATTTTATATCTCTACATACCAGTTCTCACGACTGTATTATAAACTTTTACAAATACTGAATTCATTATTTTATATTCGTCTAATAAATTGTCTAAACTTGATTCCGATCAAACCATAAGTATTCTATAAATTTGCTCATGAAATTTAAATTTCTTTTTTTTTTTGTTGAAAAACAAGTTCTTCATTAATATATTTCCAATACAAGTTCTATGATTGATTTGTAATTTTAGTGATTTAATAAGATGACAATAAATTATGCATCTGATTGGGTGTAGCCAAAATTGATGCTTCTTTCATTTCCATCATACAATTTCGCATATTCATCTAATAAACCAGATGTTACATATGCATTTTTTTAATGAAACAATGAATTGTAAATTGAATAATAATTCATAAGAAAAAGAACTATGTTGGCTTTTATGAATTGGGTTATATTTGCCTACATAATTACCAATTTTCCATTCAGGCTAAATAAGTTAGCTTTTGTTTTATATATATATATATATATATATATATATATATATATGAAACGTATGTTGTTGCATCATCCGCTTTATTCATGGCTAACAATCTAGTACACATGTTTTTTTATAATTCCATACCAGTAGCAATTTCTTTCAAGTGAACTTTATCCTATTTCAGTAGTTCTAAATTTTTTGAAGTTCTTCAACATTAAATTAATTTATACATTTTGTTTTTCAAAATTATAAGTTGAGTGCATTTTGAAATTAATATCAATAGAAAAAACATGTCGATTAGAACAAAATAAATAGAACTTCAAAAGACGTTAAAAGAGGCAACTGTTGATAAAAAAAAGTAGTTATGAATAAAAAAGTTATAATTAAAAGACTCAATAATAGAATTTAAAGACACAACCTTTGTTATAAATATATGATAATATGTGTAAGTATTTAACAAAACAGATCGGAAGCTTGAAAGTTAGAGAAACGAAATAAATTAGAAAGAATCGGAGGCCATAGATAGGCACATGTGCAGGATAAAAGCCCTTACCTTGGCCACTGGCTAGTGCATGGCATATTCACATTCATATTGACCTCATACGATCCATATTCTTTTCTAATCTCATATCTCTCTGTCAATTATTCCTCTTTAATATTCATATTAATTGCTAACTATGTACTTATACGTAAACATGGACCGTATGATTCGAGTTGAAGATCCCCATATCCTATATATGGGTCTTTTTTTCTCTATCAGTTTCCTTCTCCAAATAACCCTTGCTTACGGAACAATCAAAAAATTGAATGATACTAATAACTTAGTGTTTTAAAAAATTTTATCGGGATCGTTCATAAATGATAATAAGTCAAACATGGCGTAGAGACACATGGAGCACTCGATTTTACGTAAGTGTACCACACGCTGCAACAAAAGGCGCGTAGAGACGTTATATTAAAAATTAAAAAAAATCCATATTAATCTCCGGCGAGTCTTGCTTTTTACGATAGCTTTTTGAGCATCTCCGGCGGCGTGGTCACCGGCCGTCAACTTCACCATCATCATCATTATATATCAACATGCATCATCATATACATTCATATTATACCATTTTAATTAACTCCGTTGACAATAACGTGTGAGTGTGTGTATATAAATGTAAATCAAGAACTTGTAGCTGCTTAGAAAGAAAGGCAAATGTTTCAAGAGATTGGTTGGATTGATTGATCAAGAAAACGTAATCAAAATGGGATCGTCGTCCAACGGAGGTGTGCCACCTGGTTTTCGGTTTCATCCGACGGACGAAGAGCTTCTCCATTACTACTTGAAGAAGAAAATCTCTTACCAAAAGTTTGAGATGGAAGTTATCAGAGAGGTTGATTTAAATAAGCTTGAGCCTTGGGATTTACAAGGTACTATTTCTACTTATTCGACTCATTTATCAAGAAACTCTCGCAATTCATTGTTTGTTATTAACCTCATTTCAATATCGATTTCACTTATTGTTAATTGGTTTGAGATGAAAACCCATAAATCTTGATAGCTCTTTTCCACTTCTTGATTACTAGATATATACATGGAAATTTATTAGTGATTCAATTCTCTAATTTTGTATGATGTTTTTTTTTTCTATTAGAGAGATGCAAGATAGGGTCAACGCCGCAGAACGAATGGTATTTCTTCAGCCACAAAGACAGGAAATATCCAACAGGTTCAAGGACAAATCGTGCTACTCATGCGGGGTTCTGGAAGGCCACAGGACGTGACAAATGCATAAGAAACTCTTACAAGAAGATAGGAATGAGGAAGACACTTGTGTTCTACAAAGGAAGAGCTCCTCATGGCCAAAAGACTGATTGGATCATGCATGAGTACCGTCTCGAAGACGCTGACGATTCTCAAGGCAACCCTAGTGTATGTCGTTTCTTTGAGCAATCTTTAAAATCATAATATAGATCATTAATGGCACAAATATCCGATTTTCAAATTTTTTTTTCTAAATTGTTTTGAATATGTATATTAAATTCTATAAAATTCTTTATACAAAATTTTGATATATACAGTAATTCCTTATACAAAATTTTGACAGAGAATTTTCACAGAGCATTTTAAGTAGTTTGTGACTGTTTATCATGATGCGTTAAATTCAGTAGGTTGGTTAGGGTCTACTTTATTGAATCTGTTTTGTGCATTATACTATATGATCTTGTAGGAAGATGGATGGGTGGTTTGTAGGGTGTTCATGAAGAAAAATTTGTTCAAGGTAGTGAATGAAGGTGGCTCAAGCATTAACTCAACAGACCAATACAACCATGATGCGTCCAACAACAGCAACACGCTCCAAGCTCGTAGCTTTATGCACAGAGACAGCCCTTACCAGCTAGTACGCAACCATGGAGCCACAACATTTGAACTGAACAAGCCTGACCTTTCTCTTCATCAATACCCACCAATCTTCCATAAGCCACCTTCTCTTGGATTTGACTACACTTCAGGACTTCAAAGGGACTGTGAAAGTGCGGCTAGTGAAGGGTTACGGTACCAGCAAGCGTGCGAGCCAGGTTTAGAGGTTGGCACGTGCGAGACAGAGGCTAGTCATAACCATCAACAAGGTTTAGGTGAATGGTCAATGATGGATCATAGGCTTGTGACTTGTCATTTGGGAAATGAAGATTCCTCTAGAGGGATTAGGTTTGAGGATGGTAACAACAATTCTTCTTCTGTTTCCCAGCCAATTCCTGCGTCGAACCAGCTTTCTTTGCGCAGTGAGATGGATTTCTGGGGTTATTCTAAATAGATGTTTATAATATCTAATGACTATTCAAGTCTTGGTGGTGTGTGTGTGTGTGTGTTCTTGATTACATTTTTAATTTTTAGTTCATTTATGGTTGGAAGCAAATTGCTTCACAAAACCCAAATATATTGCCACTATGGGAATGAATAAGAACAGGTTTGATTAGTTTAATGTATTCATCATGTATTGTTATTCTCATTTGCCTCGCACGAACCTAAGCATGTATAAATATTTTTTTTAACAATATGCATTATGTGTTTTGGTGGTGACAACACTTAGCATCAGTATTAGATTACATGTCTTTGTGGATTGCTTTCATGATGACAAGTCGAAAACAACAAAATCAGCGGCTAGAAATGGTTATAAAATTTGCTAGAGTGATGTAAATTATTGCTCAATAATATTGATTTTTTGTGCACTTTTTCCCCCCTTACATATATAAAACCAAAGGATAGCTATATATTTAACCGCATACGCAAACGCACTGTTAGATGACTATCCTTAGAAGCATAATAAAGCAGCACCATTGGAAATATATCAAGAAGATGCAGATGGAAGTTTTTTTCACAATGTCAATAGAAATTCTCATCAAACAAAGTGTACAAAGCATCTTCTCGAAGCTCTTTTGAAACTAGAAAACGGCTTAGAGAGTGGGAGCTCTCTCGGCGGTTCCAGCGATGACGGTAAGCAAATTGTTTCCAAAAGGATCACTTAGATGCTTTGAAAGGTTCTCAACGGGACCTTCTCCGGTAACGTAAGCTTGGATGAAGAAACCAAGCATCGCAAACATGGCTAATCTCCCGTTCTTGATCTCTTTAACCTTGAGAAGAGCTCCTTGTTCAGGGTCCTTAGCAAGTCCCAGAGGATCAAATGGACCTCCTGGGTGAAGCTTGTCTTCGAAATCCTGCCCAAATTTTTTGCATTTCCAAGTTTAGTTGTGTTCCCCGTGAGGAATTCGAATGAGTAATAGCTTAAAATGTAGAGTAAATTTACCAATCCGTTGGTGATTCTGTAGTACTCGGCTCCACCGAGGAGAACAACTTCAGCAACTACGGCGAGAACAAGGTTGATTGGGATGTTCTTGCCGAAATAGTTCAATGTGTTTCCATCAAGAAGCAGAGCACCAGTCTGCATCGTCATTCCAATAAAACCCATCAAAATCATAAGTTCTTGCTTTGCTATATATAATCTGAAGTCAATTGAAGATTCAAGAAAGATGAGAATTAGTATAAAGAACCTTAAACCAGACAGCTTCAGGGCCACAGTTAGCACCGTATTTGTTTAAGGCTTCAGGGATGATGAAACCAGCTGCTCCCAACATAGCCCATCTCGCGTGGATCAATTCAAAGGCTTGGTATCTAGCAACCACATTCATTACACAACCAGTCTTAATGACATTGACAAATTTGAGAGATAAGAGATGGAACTAACGAAACAGGTATTAGAGCAGAGAATCTGCTTACTTAGCAAAGTTCTCAGGCTTCTTTCCAAGTCCAAATGGGTCATAGCCATAGCTGCAATTCAGATTTGATACCAATAAATCCTAAGTACCAAAGCCAAAGCAAGCATAGAAAGAGAGACATGAAGAAGTATCTTACTCTCCAGCAACTTCACCGTTTAAGTACTCTGGGATCTCTGATCTGTCCAAAAGACCATCCGGCAAGAATATTCTCCTGTCAGGACCTGAATTGCAAACACATTCATGATCAGGGAGGCGTATTGATAGAAAGCAAAGGAAACAATACGATGTTGAAAGGGAAGTAGAGGACACATACCGTACCACTTGGCGAGCTCGTCGTTCGCAACAGAGACGGTCTTCTTAGGAGGAGGAGCTGGCTTTTTCTTGGAGAACAGAGCAACTGTCTTGAACGTAGCCGGGCTTGATGCCAATGGAGCAGACGATCTTGACACTGCCCTGAAGTTAAGGGGCGTACCAAGCATTTCCGACACACCCAAAGACGCCATCTTTTTTAGCCCCAAAGTTTCAAGCTTTTTTACTCTGTATCAAGACTAAGAGGAGAAGCTAGGTGAAAGGAAGGAAGAGACGAAAACTGCTTCTATAAGGTGGAGAGTGAGATTCGTTCAGGCTTTTGATTGGTCCAATTTGGGAATGTGAAATATGATTCTGTTCTCTGATTGGCTGTGGTTGCTGATGTGGCTCATAGATTGGTTTTTGTTGGATAATCTATTTTATCCATATCCTCTGTTTCTCTTTTGTGTGGCCATGCTTTTACCTATACACTGCAAGACTGTACACAAGATTCTCAAAACACATGAAAATCTCAACTGTTGAATGTCATCCACAGGTCTTTTACTTAGTAGGGCTTTCAGTAAATTTCTCAGCACACTAGTCTGCTTATTACCGTATCGTGGACTCGCATTCAGTCGCGCAAAATAACGCGCAAAGTCAACAGTTAGATATCCAAATTGGATCAACAACAATGGCTGCTTCTGCAAAATTGGGTTATGCCTGCTCATTATCGTAAGAAAACGCTCAAACTCAATGGCGTTTGGGGAGTTAAGTTGAGCCATTAGCATCACTAGAATGATCAATATAAACTACTTGAATCCGTCTTTGTACCATATCCAAATCGTACAATAACGAATGCGATTCACACATTCCGGATTGAAGAACAAGGCAATACTAACATTTACTTGAAAGGAACTAATCCAAAGCTGCAACAAGACAAGTATCTAAGCTAAAAGATGCAGACTTGCAGAGTTTTTTTTTTTTAATTTACAATCTTCTCCACTTGTCGATTTCTTTTGAAGTGGCTTTCACAAGTTTCTTGGTGTGGACAACGAGTTCATCAATCAGAGAATCAACTTCATCTCTGTCAATAGCCAAAAGAAAAAAATGATCTTTTTCAGTTCTAACACAAACATTACTTGTTTTGTCACAAATAGAGTCAACACTAGAATCTAATTACTCACAAAGATGGTTTTCCAACGTTGTAATAAGAGCGAGAGTGATCATAAGCAGCTCCTCTTCCGACGCCATACCCAAATCCAACACCGATTCCACAACCAGCTCCGAATCCGAGACCAAACTGTAATCCAGGAACTCCTGGTCCGAATCCTACACCTGATTTCCATCGATCTCTTAGTCAAGTTAACTAACACTTTTCTAACTATCTAAAGATAGTTTTTTGAGCGATTTCGCAAGTCTAAGTTAGTCAAAATTGGGACAAAAATACCTCCGATAAGACCGGCGCCGAAACCAAATCCACAACCGACACCGAGTCCTAAAGCGGGACCAACTTTTCCGACGTCTTTGATCCTCACCTGAGGAAGTTTCCACAGTAATCCCTTGTCATCGTCTCCGATGCTTCTCCTTCGATTGCTCATCGTCTTTCTCTCTCTCTCTCTCCCTCTCTGTCCCCGTGGACTTCGTTAGTACATACTTGGAATAAGCCTATATTGATCAGGCCCACTGTTATTAGCAGAGGCCCAATGATTTTTTTTTTTCTTTAACAACTTTTATATTAAATTAAACTATATATAGATGATACAAATAGTTCATTAACCATATAAGTGGACAATAGAAAACATTAAAAGATAATAGAAAACATTAAAAGATGAAGAATTTTGTAGTGCTCTTTTTGATAACACATCCGCTGCTTGATTGATTATGTTCTCTGTTGACATGATCGATAGAACAAAGTGGGAGCATCATGATCCATCATCTGATATCAATTAATATAGTGCTAATTTCTGTATTTTTACCATCTGAATTAATTAACCGAACTAGCTGATGCGTGTCAACTGAATGAGGGAACAAGTTTTATCCTTAACAAAAAGAAATAAAAGCTACAAGTGCACAACTAATCAGTTGTAGTATTTAGGGATCGAATCCACAGAGATTTGTGTGTCTGGTATTCTTCTACGGTTTCTAACTTTATGTCTAGACTATATTGGTTTTAGAGGTTGGTTGTTTTTCACGGATTAAACTAAAACAAAAAAAAGCAAATATATTCTACCCTAGAAAACAAGTAGAAAAATCGAATGCGAAGCAAGTAAAGCAAGCAAAATATCGAACTAAAGCAATTTAAATGCAGATCTGAATAAGCAAGTGAAAATCGATTAGTTTGTAAACTATGGCTAAAAAAGCTGAGCTTTCGGGAACTCTACAGGGATCATAATCGGTTTTGACACTAGGGTAGATAGATTGGGATTGACGGATATCGATATATAGGGTTCTAGAGCTAGAGTATGGCGGTATGACTACGTCACTGTCGTGATCATAACCAACTGTTTCTCGCAACACTGACCAGTAGGTTTCCACTCTGGCCCTGGAATGGAGAGAACACAAGAGCTGCACAAGACTCGTCAATACTCACGATCTCGCCGCAGGTAGGTTTCCACTCCTACGGAAAAATCGCATGTTCATTCTAGGACTGATACTTAATGAAAAATTTCCCAACACTAACTATCTAGATCAGATACTAGGTGATCAATCAAGCATACATGCAATAAGAACGAGAATAAACAGAGAACAAAGTTGAAATCCCAGATCTATAAACCTAGATGTCTTAATCGATTATGAGAGCCCCTTTCGGGAACCCTAAGCCCAACTCGAGATCTACTCAGACATGGCTGAGGTCAACATCATCATTGGTTTTAATAAAAGTATTCAAAAACAGTAAATAAAAGAGATGAAAGAAAGCTTCTCTATTGAAGAACTCGGACTTGAACAATCTTCTACAAAAATCGCATAAAACGGCTAAAAGAAAAGGGTTTCTGTAAAGTATGAAGGGTGGTGTCTAAAAACGACCTAAATGACAAGTACTTTTAGTCTTCAATACTCCATGGTCTCTAGGGTTCCGGAATTGAGGCTGAGAATGACTTTGGGCTTCAGAAATATGGGCTTTAGTTCGGAGTTGGCCGACCGCGGTCAGGGATGACGTGACCGCGGGAAATAGGTGGCTGGCCGCGGTCGGGAGGCTTGTGACCGCGGGGAATGGGCTGGTGACCGCGGTAGCGTGACTTACTGGCCGTCTTCAAGTGGCTCCAGGGCTAATGGAATATCTTGAGATCCAACCGTTGGAATGTCTCCAAACCAAGTGCATTTGAAAGCTGGTTGATTCTTCTATATGTTGTCCTATTTTGAGGGTGATCAGACGGTGAAAAGATCTTCGTCTCTCCATGAGAGTTCTGACGGTCTGCAATTATCCAAAAGAGTCTTTTTGTTCTAATTTGTGCCTCTTTATCCCAAATGACCTAAAAAGTCTTTTAAAATCCAAAAACATAGAAATCCTTTAAAAACCTTTGAAAATAAAGTAAAAACACTTGTAAAAGACATTAAAGTGATCCATAAAAATAGTCAAAATCCGGTGTTATCACTAGCTCTTTATTATCACTTTCAAATCAAACATTCCACCAGCCTTGTATCCAGATGGACTAAACTATATGTAAAAATCTAACTGCTTCAGCTTGTAGAGGACTTTGTACCTGCAGTAATCGCCCATTACCTGATAGAACATGTTTGTCTTCATGATCCCGTAAAATCCAGCCTATTCCAGTTGTATCCCCTGTTAAGATATGAGAACTGTCAAAATTATATTTGAGTCATCTTTGTGGTGGAGGTTGCCATTGTGAAGAACAGGTTAATGAATCATCCTCAACATTTCTTCCATAGAAATCTCATATCTTGTTACTGCACTTCATTCCTTTGCTCCTTGCAAGCCACGATCAGCATCTTCCTTGGGGTGAGCAGATCTTTTTTTTTGGAATATAAACTCATTCTTTGATTTCTAAATATTCTAAACTGTCCAAAATGGTAATACTCTATCCTCCATAAGCAGAGTTTTTGTTTTTGCTATTGCGATGATTCATTCAATATTTTCTTCAAGAATTATCGATGGATTTTCAAACGCTTGTATGTTAGAACATCGCCAAATCGCATGTGCATGAGGACACTAAAACAGGATATGGTTTTCATCTGCAAGACAACATCACTGACAAATTGGATTTACATTAACACCACGAATACGTAATCGTTCTGAGGTAGGTAGAGCTTCCGATAATGCACGCCATAAGAAATGCTGAATCTTTGGTAGTATCTTCAGCTTCCATATTTTCATCTTAAGATCAACTGACCCTTGAGGAGGTTCAATGATTTCATCTCTTACCGCTTCATGAGTTGCAAACCAATATCCGGATTTTACCGAGTAAGATGTGTCTTTAGAATACAGCCAAATATACTTATCTGTGGATGCAAATTTGGATAGAACAATTCTTTTGACAATTGTAACATCTTCCACACATAAGATATTCTGTAACTTTGTTTTATCACATGCACGTTTTCCAGACACCCATAAATCAGCAATTGTTAAATTGGCATCAATATTAAATCCTCTTGCTGCTCCTGGTGATGATGCAGGAATACATCAATCAGACGCCACTTTAGTATCTTTCCCATTACCAATCTGAAATCTTAGACCTTGTTGGAAGGTCTTTACCGGCTTGGACTGATCTCCAACCAAATGAAGGCTGCACACCACACGTTGATTCTAAAAACATCAACATGTTATGGTACCTTCCTTTGTATATCCGAGCAATTAATGAATTAGGCTTTTTAAGGATTCTACATGCTTGTTTATCAAGAAGCGCCCTGTTAAACTGAAACAAATCTCTGAAGCCTAATCCTCCAGTTTTTGGAAGTGACATACGTTTCCAGGCTACCCACGATATCTTCCTTGAATTATGCTCTTTTCTCCACTAGAATTCTTTTAACATACTATTAATCTCATCACAAAATATTTTTGGAATTTGAAAACAATTCATGGAATAGATAAGCGATGCTTGCAGAACATATTTGATTAGAACCTCTTTTCCAGCAGAAGAAAGAAACTGATGATACCACCCATTTAACTTTTCTTTTATTCGTTTTAAAACAAGTCAAATGCCTTTGTTTTGCTTCGACCAAATTGTTCCAGCAACCCCAGATATTTTCCTCCCTCACCAACACTTTGAATCCCTAGCAATCCATGTATCATATCATGTTGTCTTTGTGCTATTCTTGTACCAAAAATGATGGAAGACTTGTCGTAGTTTACTTGTTGGCCTGAAATGTTTTATATCTTCCAATAATTTCTGCCATTACCTCACAATCTGTTCTTGTTTCTCGACAGAAGAAGAGAGAATCGTCGGCAAACAATAAGTGAGATACTGTTGGAAAATGTGAAGCGAGCTTCATACCCTGAAAACTGCGATTTCTCTCTGCAATAGTTAGCATTTGGCTCATCACCTCAGCACAAAGGAGAAAAATATAAGGAGATAATGGGTATCCTTGTCTGATACCCTGTGATGGTTTAATATTACCATAAGCATTCCCATTGATCAAGACCGAAAACGAAACAGATTTAACACAACTCATAACCCATTCAATCCGTTTGTCACAGAAATCCATCCTTGTCATTCACGAAAAGTTTCTAGAAAGGTTACTTATTTGTTGCTATTGTCTTATCGTGCATCATACATAATAACTTGTAATAGACTCCTTAAATATATATGCATCATTTATATTTTTATATATATATTACTCTTTTCATACACTGTTGTATTTTTTTTAATGATGCAAACACAGTAGTTTTCAATACAATCCATCACAAGAAAAAATGGAAAAACTACAAATTAAAGACATACGAGATTAGTTTAAATGTATTTTTGTATATGATGTGTCAGAAAGAGGAGGGATAAAGAATCCATGCCCGGCCAGATTTGGGTGTGAAGTGCTTAAACCTACCATAAAACATTACTAGTATAAGTATGACTTTCCCAGCGGGACTCCACCGTCCCACGAACCCATAACTCGCGTCTTCGCAGCCACCGTCACTCACATTCAAGCGCCGTTTGCAGCTGTACCCGGTCGTGAACCCGACGTTTCCATATGCACTGCCGTTACAATATTGAATTAATTAGTAATATGTATTGTTTTCATGGAAAAAACTAAACTTAAGTAATAAGGTATAAAAGTACAGTTCATATCTTTCATAAGGACATAACCTTTTCTTATTTGATCTAATCCAAAAATATGATGGAACCTAAGATCCAAAACTTTTCACTACTATTGATATGAATGTTAATTATTAAGGAATAAATAAAGAAGCTTAACCAGCCGAAAGACATACTTTTTTGCTAAAAAAATGAATAAAAAGGTAAATCTAGTAATGGATCGAACTAATGATAATAACAGAGAAAAGATTAGGATCGAGTGAACCAGATTTGAATCTGCTGTAGTTGGATATAGTCACTTATATATTAATCTTTCACTTACTAGAGTTACATGATTTACAAGAAGGAAAAAAATAGATACGTATGGTGAATAACTCTGAATTCTGAAAGCTTGGACAAATTGTAAGGATTAATGAAATTCTTAATTCAAATATCATTTTAATCTCTCTAGAGGAGTTTTCAATCCGTTTATTTTCCTACGCTAATTTTTTTCATTTCTAAACTATGTTAACAAGTTACAACTGGTACACAATATCTTCTCACATAACAATATTTTACACACCTTCAATATGTTTAGGTCACCTAGTTTATTAGAAGGTAAACTTAATGCCCTATCTCACCTAGATAGATTGATGTCCAATATTCTTAGAAAATTTTGAAAGTTTTTCGTGGTCTATGTAAAAGCATATTGAACGTGTGTAAGTTTAAAAATTTTAAAAGATATATGTAAAAGCACACCTGATAACTTCGAGAGTGATATTAAGGACGTTGAAGTTGAGTGGATCTCGTCGTAGTTTTTCCCTTTCGCTGATGGAAATGAGAACGATGCATACTACCAAAAAGGAAAGTTGTGACACGAAAAGCCCACTCTTTTTCCTTTTCTTTCCATTTTCGGAATCATCCTCTCCTTTCTCATTCGTTTCTTCCGTAAACGGCATAAACAATGTGTACGGAGGAAGATACCTTGTCAACACAATTATATTTACTTATCAGAATTATTCCTATAGATAAAAGAGAAATAATGCTTTGTGAACATGGTGAGTTGGAGTCGAAGAGACACCCCACTATCTTCAAAGGGCATATTCTGATTCACTGAATCCAAAAAAAAAATATTCTCTGCCAGACTGCTAGGAATATATATAATAGAACATAAAAATATGAAAAAAATACATTTTAAACTTAGATAAGACCCGAACATTCAGTAATCATCATCATTCATCGCCATCCAGATTTGAATATACATATATGTATATATGTATAACAATTAAAATTATTGAGATACTTCTCTATGTTTTGGAGGAAGACGATTTGTGATTTCTACGATGATTTTTTTTTTCAATTTAGGCTAAACGATGACTTTTAAAACATGAGCACCATTAAATGTAAATTCTGTTATCATTGAAGCTATTAAGATATTTAGAACATCACACTATCATTCGAGTTAAATCATTATAGTATTTATAACAATTTTGTGGAGAAATTAAGTTTTTTTTCATGAACACTGCAAAAATTTTACGTAAAATATATTTTTGTTTTAGAACATGCTCTTTGAAAAGTTTTGGACGCCGTACATGCATAGATGCGTATGTCAACTTCCACATGTGTGAAAGTATGTCGACATAAATGTACGTACGTTTCGACCGGACAAAAGTTTAAATATTTTGAGTCCACGTGAACGCAAGAAATAAAAGAGGAGAGAGAGAGAGAGAGAGAGAGAGAGAGAGAGAGAGAGAGAGAGAGAGAGAGAGAGAGAGAGAGAGAGAGAGAATTGAAGAACTCACATCATGAGGATGAAGAGTATCAAGATAGTTGGGGAAAGTGTGGAGACGTCGAGAATTGTTTCTCCGGTGTGTCTCGAGTTCACCACTTGAAACAACGATCCAACGAACTTCTCGTACCAATTCATTCCTTCAAGAGACTCCGAGCTCCATTCATAGACGCAGAAGAAAATAAGTTGTATCGTCAAAAAACCTAACACCGTCAATCCAAGAAGAACACAACGACGAACGGAGAGTAGATGATAGTATCCCATCTTCTTGTAGTTGTTGAGAATATAACCAAACTCGTCGTACTTTGTGATCTTATCAAGTCCCGAAACGAGAAACAATAAAAAGCAAGGGAACAAAGTGTTTCCCATCAATGCTTGAGGGATAAGGAGCCAGAGAAGGCCCGAGTTCTTGCGGAAGATGATCATGTTCTCATTCGTGGGGACAAATCCACAGTTTCCGAACGTGGAGACAGCTGTGAAGACCGAGAAGGTGAGAGGTGAGATTTCCTTGGAACTAAGAACATCTCCCGCCGTTTTAACAAAGTTCACGTATACAAGAACCAACACGGAGCCAGCTATGTTGGTTACAAGATGATAACCAAGAACCACTGAGTACAAGCACTTCGATGCCCTCTCATTGATCTGGCTTGGATCCACACGATGATCAGTAACGTTTTCGAGGTCAATACGGCGATCTTCTATCGGACTATCCAAGTCGAAAGAGCCCATAAGGTGTCTAATATTCTTGTTATGAGGGAGGACAAATTTGGTGAAATGGGAGAAGTAGAGTGTGAGGAATGAAGTAAAGACCTCGCCGCCGAGCAACATGAGGATAGTGAGGAAGATAAGATGGGTGTTGGAGAAGACTTCCATGTCGATGGTGGACATGGAGGAGACGGTGATGGCGGAGACAGAAGTGAAGAAGAGGTCCAAGTCATGAGGACGTGACGTGGTTCTTGGCTTCGAGATCTTGAGGGCCAAGAACCCTAAAAAGGAGAAGGACAAGAAGTATACGAAGTAGAGGCAGAGGACGGAAGGATTTTTAGCAAGTTGCAAACGGAATTTAGCTAATTTTGCCCCAACTCTCTCCATTTTTTTTTTTTTTGTTGGGTCTGTCTAAGCATTATTCTCGGCCATAACATGTTCATATATTACACGCACATGGACATTTTGAGCTATCTATGCAATAAAACTTTTATAAATTAATATTCCTAAAAATATAAATACAATAAAATAATTAATTTGCTGATTTTTAATTGAACCAGTATAAAAAAATTAACAACATTTGTTATTAAATTTTTTTTTTTTTAGAAACTCCTTATATTGCTTCAATGATATTATAGATGAAAATTTATACAAACTTAGGCATATATAACTAAGATCATCTATTAAGTTGAAATATCATTAAATTTCATCTCTAATTTTACTTATTACATCAAAATTTGTTGTTTTATCTTCTCAATCTGTATCTAAAACATGTTAAAAGGTTTAATATTTGGTTTTTGGGTACAAATTACAAATAAGTGCTTCCAAATCTATTGTAGTATAATCTTTAACTTCATCATCAAAAGTAATACAAATTATTCATCATTTCTTCAAAATTTTGAACTTGTATATATGTACTTTTCACCTGGATTCATTGTGATAGCCAAGATTATTGAATGAATCATAACTTCAAGTTTGTGCATATCATTTTTCACTAGTAGGTTCATAAAATTTCCTTGATATAACGTTGTTTTGGATTATTTTAGACGATTATGCATTAAAACAACCACTATCTCTCTTAAAATTAATATTTCAATTTACTGATTAATTAGTATCTTGAAAAATTATTGATTTTAGAGGTTTTACTGTAAATGATTGCAATTAGTAATTCTAGGAATACATTTCTACAACTAAGCAAACTGATAAAATGTAAAGCAAAATATTACGTACTAGGTGATTACCCGCACCATGTGCAGAGTAAATATTAACCATAATTTTTTTATTCGAATATCCAAATATAATGTATATAAATACAACTATAAGATGTTAGCTAATATTTATAATTGCAAATATATGTGCCAGGAAGTGTTAATAATGATTAAGTATTTATTTTGTAATACAATTACATAAATACTAGATAAGTATTAGTTTTATAATTAATTTTAATAGTATTATTATATAAATAAAATTGCACAGTAAATATATTAAATTAAATTAATACGTTCTATCTAACCGGTCCAACATTTTTGCTTTTGCTTTTGATATAAAAAATTTTGAATTATAATATATAAGATTATTAAATAGATAATGTGATTAGTTTTTTTAACAAAATCAAAATAAAAAAATAAGATAAGAAATATAATGTTTAGTAACATAAGTAATATTATGTATTAAATTTTATAAATATGTTACAAAAAATAGAAAGAGAGAATATATTTACAAATGAAATATTTGACTGTTAAATATATAATTGATATAAGCTAATCTCTAATCAAATTGATGTTAGTGGCATATGATATAATTAATCTAGTAAGACGAACATATTTTCAAAAAATTTCTGAGAAACTCTCCGAGATTGATATCTCAATATGACATTCATGTATCTGTAATATATGGGACAAATGTTTTTTTAAGTATTATTGTCAATTAATAATATAAGATTTAGTTTAATTAGATAAGATCGACAAAATACTGATACATAAATTAGGAAATGTTATAACACATATCATATATGGACTCTTATACCGGCCCATTAGGCCCATCAGGGCATTGTACTTAACCTAGATTCCCTATGTACTCTATATATACATTCCAGTGATTAATAAAGTTTCTAAGAAGTTTTCACAACACGTTATCAGCACGATAAGACTCTCTGAGCGAAAAACCCTAATAAATCCGGCCACCACCAAAACCCTAAAAGCAAGTCGAAACTTAAAAGACGCATATCTTCCAAACCGTGAGGAACCAGAAGACGATCTACATATCAAATCGAAGCCCTCGACGAGACGAATCTACTGGTGAAAACCGTTTGTCGATCCAACGTCGGACGCGCCCTCACGCACACTTACAGTACACTACGATCAACCGAAAAAAAAAAAACCAGATCCGAGTTTTTCCTTCTTCAACCAGCAGCTTCTCCAGTTTTGGTGATCAATCCTTGGAATTTGTAGCGGCTAACTGAGGTCTATTAGCTCCCAGTTTCATTAGCCTGTCAGAAATCCAAAGGTGGAAAAGCACACCAGCAAATGGAAACCATAGTCGTAGATAGTGGATCCAGCCACACTATCTTAAGAAACAAAAGTTACTTCATAAACCTAACCTATCAAACCGCAAATATTAGCACCATCGCGGGCCCCTCAAACCTTATCGAAGGATATGGCCATGCCTATGTGTTGCTATCAAATGGCACACAACTTGAAATACCAGATGCTCTATATTCTCCTAGTTCGAAGAGAAATCTTCTGAGCTTCAAGGATATAAGACAAAATGGTTTCCACATAGAAACCCAAGGTCAAGGGAACAAAGAATCCCTCCTAGTCACTAAAACCGTAGACGGCCATAAACAAATCCTCGAAACCATACCCGCGCTCTCTACTGGACTTTACCATGCTAAAGTCAGTATGATTGAAGCTAATACCACTCTCAAAGCCCGGTTTACTGATTATACTATTTGGCACGACCGGCTCGGTCATCCCGGTGCAAATATGATGCGTAAACTAATTCAAAACTCTCAAGGGCATACCCTCAAAGAAAACCGAGCTTATCCTCAACACCTCATGTGCACAGCTTGTTCTCAAGGCAAATTGATCACTCGGCCTTCACCAGTTAAAATCTCTAAACAAACACTTCATTTCCTAGAAAGAATCCAGGGCGATATCTGTGGACCTATACATCCATCTTCCGGACCATTCCGGTACTTCATGGTCCTTATAGACGCATCGACCCGTTGGTCATATGTTTGTCTCTTGTCCTCTCGGAACCAAGCCTTCGCTAGGTTCTTGGCCCAAATCATAAAATTGCGGGCCCATTTCCCTGACTTCCCACTAAAGACTATCCGCCTTGACAATGCTGGTGAATTTACCTCACAAGCGTTTAATGACTACTGTATGGCCATGGGGGTAACCGTGGAACATCCTGTAGCACATGTCCATACTCAAAACGGATTGGCTGAATCATTCATTAAACGCATTCAATGGATAGCCCGACCATTACTCATGAGATCAAAGCTCCCGGCCTCAGCATGGGGACATGCAGTATTACATGCTGCTGAACTCATACGCATCCGGCCATCTAGTGAACACAAATATTCCCCATCCCAACTACTCTCGGGTCATGAGCCAGACATCTCCCATCTCAAAACATTTGGGTGTTCAGTATATGTACCCATTGCTCCACCACATCGAACCAAAATGGGACCTCAAAGAAGGATGGGAATATATGTTGGTTTTGACTCTCCCACCATCATAAGATATCTCGAGCCAACCAATGGAGATCTCTTCAAGGCCAGATATGCGGATTGCCAATTCGATGAATCGGTATATCCCTCTTTAGGTGGTGAGACAAACAAGCTGGTCAAAGATCTTTCATGGAATCAAACATCATTAAATTGGCAAGATCCTCGGACTCTAGAATGTGATTCAGAGATCCAAAAGATTATTCATTATCAAAAGCTAGCTAATCAATTGCCAGATTCCTTTGCTGACCCGACCAAAGTAACCAAATCGTACATCCCAGCTTGTAATGCACCAGTACGAATAGCTGTCCCAATGGGACAGACCCAAGTTGCTACAGAGTCTGCACCACGTCTCAAACGGGGCAGACCTCTCGGTTCCAAAGATAAGAATCCCCGGAAATCAAAGAAAGGTGCAATAACCGAAACCGGGATTCCTGCAATATCAGACATAGCCGCGGCTGAGACTCAATCTAATGAACCCTCAATGGAAGTTCGGGACGCCGAATCTCCAGGTTCAGAAGATAACAATGAGATCTCCATCAATTACAATATGTCCGGAATACAATGGAATCGAAAAGAAGTCGACTTAAATGCACTCTTTGCATACAAAGTAGCACTTGATGTTGCGCTCACGCAAGAGGATCTAGAACCCACGTCAATAACACAGTGTACACATCGAACAGATTGGCTAAAATGGAAAGAAGCCATAAACGTGGAGTTAAAGAGTCTCAGACTCAGAAACGTGTTCGGTCCGATCATCCGGACCCCATCACACATCAAGCCAGTGGGCCACAAATGGGTCTTTGTGCGCAAAAGGAATGAACTCGGTGAAGTCGTTCGATACAAAGCACGGCTTGTAGCACAAGGATTCTCACAGAGACCCGGAATCGATTATGAGGAGACTTATTCTCCAGTGGTGGATGCAACAACATTCCGATTCCTCATAAGTCTGGCCATAAAAGAAAATCTTGATCTGCGGTTAATGGATGTTGTAACCGCATATCTCTATGGGCCCCTGGACAACGAAATATATATGAGACTCCCAGATGGCATTGAACTAAAAGACAAAAATGCATCTCGAGATCAATACTGCATCAGGCTGAACAAATCCTTGTATGGACTGAAACAAAGTGGGCGTATGTGGTACAACCGCCTCAGCGATTACCTCATCAAAGAAGGCTACAAAAATGACCCCATCAGTCCATGCATCTTCATCAAGAAGTACTCAAACAAAGGATTTGTAATCATAGCAGTATACGTGGATGATCTAAACATCCTCGGAACATCTGGTGAGATCTCCCAAACAGTCGACTGCTTAAAAGCAGAATTCGAAATGAAAGACCTAGGCAAAACAAAGTACTGTTTGGGATTACAACTTGAGTACATCAAAGGAGGAATCCTTGTGCATCAATCGGCTTATATCGAAAAGGTACTCAATCGATTTAATATGGACCAAGCTCACCCATTGACCAGCCCAATGGTAGTTAGAAGCTTAAGTGATGACCCTCTTGGTCCCAAAAAGGATGATGAAGAAATCCTTGGTCCTGAAAAGCCATACCTCAGTGTTGTAGGAGCGTTAATGTACCTAGCTAGTCACACTAGACCAGACATATGTTTCGCCGTGAACCTCCTCGCTCGATATAGTTCATCTCCAA